AACTGATGGACTGGAGTGCTGTGGATTATTGTGATGTTTTTATCAGCTGTTTGGACTCTCATTCTGACGGCACCCATTCACTGCAGAGCATCCATTGCTGAGACACTGATGCAATGCTACATTTCTCCAGATCTGATGAAGAAACAAACTCACAAGAAACAAATTGGATGGACTGAGGAGTGAGTTTTCAGCACATTTTCATTATTGGGTGAACTATTACTTTTACTTATATATATATATAAAAAAAAAAGAAAAGAGTAGTTGATGGTGTGGATATGGATATGTTTGCGCCAGATCTGCAATTTAGCACTCAAGAGTGTTCATGCTTCTGTGTCCAACCTTATTGGACAGTTTTTGAACCACTAAAACAATCTCCAAAATACATTAGTTTTGGACAGATTTTATTTGAAATTATTTCACACCTGTTCATTCTTTGAATTCACTTGAAATATATTGGGGCCATTAGAGTCATTACATTACAGTAATGAGAATTTGGGGAGAAAATGTGCTTATGTAAAATGCCATGCTCCTAAAATTGACCTCATTTTATTCAAAAAAGAAAATGTAATTTATATTATGTTCTTTAGATTTTGGGCACAAAAGACTTAGAGAAATTCACTGTATGCTGCACGAGTGCATGAGATCATGCCAAGTGACTTATTAATAAATTATTTTGGGATCAAAGCAGATATCGTGCATACTTGTGTGGTGGAATACATGGCACTGACACCACCGGCGCGGCCGCTCTCCTCTCGGCCAGGATCTTTCTGGCCCTCTTCATCTTCAGCCGTGACTTTGCTTTGGCCCTCTTGGCGCGCTCTGAGCTCCAGCCCTTCCCGTCTTCCTCGCCTCCCGCCACATCCTCCTCATCCTCCGCCTCGCCCTCGCTGTGGGAGGAGCCTGCGCTGGCCCCTCCCACACCCCCCAGCGGTTGGGCGGAGCCTGGCGGCGTGTGGATGTCGCAGTAGGCGGTTTTGCGCACGCTAAATGAAGTCCCGTTAGCGCCGGTCTCGCGCACCGGCTCCATCTTCATGTAGAGGCCGGCCTGCTGAGCGCAGGTGACGTGGAAGGCGGTGTAGCAGTTGGCTTTGTGGCACTGGATGCAGGCACCAGAGCCGCGCTGTTTACAGATGTAGCAGGTCAGCTTCCAGCGGGCAGGAGGGATGTGCTCGATGCTGTCGATGGGCTCCAGGAAGACCGTATTAGCAAAACACACCTGAAAGAAAAGCGGGAAAAACAACACCTGAATGTGCCATAACCAGAGGGCAAAAAGTGCCTTCCATGCAGCAGGGTTACTATCATTACATAAAACTAAGACTATATATGTGACCCTGGAGCACAAAAGCAGTCTCAAGCCGCTGGGGTATATTTGTAGCAATAGCCAAAATTACATTGTATGGGTCAAAATTATAGATTGTTATTTTATGCCAAAAATCATTAGGATATTAAGATCATGTTCCATGAAGATATTTGGTAAATTTCCTACCATATACTCTCAATATTTTTTTGCACCCTCAGATTCCAGATTTTCAAATGGTTGTATCTCGGCCAAATATTGTCCTGTCCTTACAAACCATACATCAATGGAAAGCTTATTTATACAGCTGCCATATGATGCACAAATAATGCACCCTTATGACTGGTTTTGTGCTCCAGGGTCCCATATATGACATATATAAGACATAAATAAATGCTTTTTAGAGGCAACCAAAAAAATAAAACATTTAAATTTAACAAAAAGCACAGCAACTCGGAACACATTTGATGTTCACAGTCAAAGCAACTAATAAAAGCTTGTCTTTCCACTTGTCACTGCTAGTAAAGGCTAGTTTAACAATACTGATTGGTCAATATTTATTTTAAGGTCCAAAACTCCTAATTTGCTGCTTATTAATAGTTAGTAAGGTAGCTATTAAGTTTAGGTATGTAAAATATGCTCATGCAGAATAAATCATGAATTTGTGCTTCATAGGTACTAATAAACAGCCAATATGCTAGTAATATGCATGCTAATAAGTAGGGATGCACCGATATGGAAATTTTGGCCGATACCGATAACCGATTATTCTTTATTTTTGAAAGCCGATAACCGATATGTTGGCCGATAAATCTATGTCCAAATTGTTATATACTTTTTGAGAGCCTGATTACAAAAAAGGTCTCATCATTAAAAGCCACATCCCAAACACTAAGCAGCCTAGTTTGAACGGTGTACGTTTTAAAAATAATTTTACTCTCCCATTACCAAATTTAGTCATAAAAAAGTCTTACAAATAAATAAAATAATGCATAAATAAGAATGTTATATACATAACATTCCCAATCATAGTTATTAATGTTGTGCACTGCTGTTTGAGCTGCGTGTGCTGAGCTAAAGATGATCACCAGTAAACTGAAGCACTCTTTTAACTTAACCAAACGCATTCTATATGAGATAAATCAGATATACATCAAATAAACACAATATTACAACGTACAATTGCACAAAAGGCTGCAAACGAACAGCGCGCATCTGAAGTGTCTCTGAAGGAAATAATGCATTATTTATCGGCTTTAAGATATCGGCCAAATTTTCTTATCAGGCCGATACCGATAACAGAAAAAATTAGCATTTATCGGCCGATACCGATATGGTGGCCGATATATCGTGCATCCCTACTAATAAGCAACTAGTTAATAGTGAGAATTGGTCCCAAAACTAAAGTGCTACCTATCAATTTCATGATCAATCTTTAATTCTGATGAAGTGATATAGATTAAATCCCAAGCTCGACCTTTCGGGCTATGCCGTTTTTTGTTGATGTGTCACAACGTCACTAAACATTACTAATAATAACAAAAGCAACAAAGCACGATGTTTGTGAAGAAACTAAGTCTGAGCTTTCAAACGGACAATTTAAATCACAAAATTCAAACAATAAATGCTGTTTTAACGTGTCCTGACAGATCAAACACCACGTGAACCGCTCATCTCATCTTTACTATTTGTTACAGCACCAAATACACCGGAATAAAGGCATGATGAAAGAACAACTTACTGAAATGCATCATGTCTCATGTGATCGATCAATCAGTGGGAAGACGTAAATATAACATCTTTAAAACAATAATGTCATGTAATATCACATTTACCTCAGGAAAGACATTCAATGTCCATATCTTGCTAGTGAGCTAGAAAAAAAAACTAGAAAAGCTTTTTGCTAAATATATGCACTATATTACATATTCATTACGCCAACACAGTCCCTCCATATGCAAGACACAGATCAAGACAATCACAACTGGTATCTGCTGCACACACACAAGCTGCACGTCACACACACACACACAAGCTGCACGTCACACACACACACACAAGCTGCACGTCACACACACACACACAAGCTGCACGTCACACACACACACACAAGCTGCACGTCACACACACACACACAAGCTGCACGTCACACACACACACACAAGCTGCACGTCACACACACA